TCAGATAAGCTTGTCCCGTGTGCTGGTTTGAATGACGGCAGCAGAGCCAGAGCAGCGAGAAAGCGGGGGGCTGTGAAGGTGGACCCCAGAATCTGAGGCAGAATCTGGAGGGGAGGGGCCAGCTCCGGCCCAGGAGATGGTGTCGCACCGGACTCCTTTAGGAATGGAGCGGCCGCCCTCTCTTCTCTGGGGCCCTCCACTTCCGGTTGACTGCTGAGGCCCGCCCCATCCATCCGCTCCTTTAGTGCCTTGAATCTCATCCGCAGCAGCCCCTCCCTCCGTCTGCTGCCTCTGGCTCCCTCGTGTAACTCCCCACCCCGGCACCCCTCCTGAGACACACATTAAAGGATGCCCTAACAGCGACTTCCCAAGTGGTGCTTCCTCAGACACCGTGACCGCCACCGTGTCAGAGTCCGCTCCTCTGCTTCCCTCTTGTCGTCAGAATGTAAAGGGCAGGGATTGGGACTCGAGCCGCCTGCAGCCTCCACCCCGGGCACGCCGGGGATGTTGAGCGTGTTCGGTGATAACAGAGACAATAGACCAAAGGGGTGTGGTGAGCGGAGCTTTACCTTGGTTGTTCCAGATGGGATCCAGGTCTCGAGGGCAGACTCTGGAGCTGCTATCGGCCAGGAAGTCATATGTGCCTTGAAATGTCCACTACTTGAGTACCCAGCGTCTGGTGGGCCTGGGGTGCTGGGGGCCAACGAGGAAACTCGACTTTCCGGTGCCTGCCCCCCTCCCCGGCCCACGCACCATCGGTGGGTGTTCGCGACGAGATGCTCCATTTGCTGTTGGGTCCTCGCCAATTGTTCTTGCTTCTCATAAGTTATTTATCAAGAGAAATCACTAATGGACTCTACTGGTTCGAGTGCTTCTGAACTGGATGACCGATCGCCGGTGTGTTTGTGTAATTAATGGCCATAATAAACTTCGATGAGTTACAAGTTGTGCTGTGGCTCGTCCAGTGGGTTTGCGAGGTGAAGATGTGGCTGCCTGGGGCGGGTGTGGAATCCCTTCAGGATCACGCTCTGCTGAGAGGCCTCTTTGATTCCCGTCCACAAAGCCTCATCTATCTGGCTGTCCTCTCTCGAGCTGCTGCCCTCCCCTGCGCCTTTGCCCTGGGGCTAGGCTCTGACGACCTTCCCCTTTTCTCTCCTACTCTCTGGTTTTCTTTCTTTTTTTTTAAATATGAAATTTATTGTCAAATTGGTTTCCATACCACACCCAGTGCTCATCCCATCCTTCGGTGTTTTCTTTCACGCTGGGGGCCTACGTTTTTGCCTCTTCCTGGGCCAGAGCTTGGGCCATGCGAGGCCACAGGCTCCCACCAGGGGGCGTGCGGAGCTCAGCCTACGGAGCCTGGCGTCGCATTCCTGCCGCCCGCTTGGGGGACAGGGCCTACCTGCTGTCGGCCTGGCCAAGACCCCCGGGCGGGGCCACGTCTTCCCTTCCAGGTTCTAAACGGATAGAGGGGCGGTGGGGCACGAAACTGGCTGCGTACCGAGTGGTCTTCAGCCAGCGCCCAGCCTGCTCCCTCTCCGCCTTGAGCTCAGCGGGCTTTTTATCACGAGGGTTGGGAGGGCACCTCCCGCTTTCAGCAGTGAGGGCGGCTCCGGGGGAGTCAGGAGACCAGGCTTCCAATGGGCCCTCAAGTCAGCCCTTCTGCTTTTCCTTCCCTGCAAAGTGCCAAGGACGGGCTGCCTGTGGACACCACGCAGGGATGCTGTGCATCGCCAGCATTGGATATTCAGCAGGGCCAAGTGACCTGCATGAGCTCGTTGGGTCCTTTCAACAGCGCTTGGAGCCCCAGATCTGAAGCAGGGGAGGGAGACTGCACGATGGGTGGGCCGGGGACCAGGTCGCCTAGCCCGGGGGTGCGGGGGCAGGACCCGCTCCCGGCTCTGACCGCCCACAGGGGCTCCTCCGCTGTGTGATGCCTTTGTGGTGTCCGAAGCCGTCCGCCTTCCAGAGTCACACTCCTGAAAAAAGCTCGGGGGATCTAAGCCCACGTTGAGAATCCCTGGGCCTCAAAGTTTTAGGGCCTTCCCCCCCCCCCCACCTTCTGAACTCTGGCCCTGCCTTGCAGATGTCCAGGACTAGGGACACAGGACACCAGGGAGGGCTAGAAGACAACTTGGCTTTGTAGGAAGAGGCCAAAAATCTCACTCTGGCAGCACAATCTGGTCCCTGGCTTGGCCTTGGTCCCAGAGTCGCGGCAGGGAGGCGGCACCATTTTCTGAGGAAGGGCTTGATGGAGAGATGCTTCAGCTGGTCATCCGGGGCACGGGTGCCCCTGCTGCTCCTGGCCCTGCCTTCCCCGCAGGCCCTCCACACCTTAGATCTCGCAGACGCTCGCCACGCCTCTCCCCGCCCTGCATCTGCCGGGTGAAATCACCAGGCACCTTCCCCGCCCACCCACTGCAGTGGGCCTCCCCTGGCGGCAGAGCCAGCTGCCCAAGGACACACCCTGAGTGTCAAATTTGGAGCCTCAAAGCGATTCCTGGCTTCAGTGAGCAGGGCCCTTGGCTGAGTTAGCTGGGGCCAGGCCACTCGAAAGGTCCGCTCGGCCATCACGTTAGTCCCGTTCTGTACTCCCAGATCCTAGAGGCACGTCAACCTCAGAGCTAGACTTGTTCCTGGTTACTCACGGTGAGCTTTCTTTTTTTTTTTTTTTTTTTTTTAATTTTTTTTTTAATGTTTATTTATTTTTGAGACAGAGAGAGACAGAGCATGAATGGGGGAGGGGCAGAGAGAGAGGGAGACACAGAATCGGAAGCAGGCTCCAGGGTCTGAGCCATCAGCCCAGAGCCCGACGCGGGGCTCGAACTCACAAACTGTGAGATCGTGACCTGAGCTGAAGTCGGACGCTCAACCGACTGAGCCACCCAAGTGCCCCATACTCACGGTGAGCTTTCCTCCGGGGCCTCAGTCTCCCGGACTCCGCTCGAGGAGGGTGTGCTTGAGCCGGGTTGCACACTCACACTCCCCCCCCCCACCCCGGGGGCGTCTCTGAGGCCGAGAGCGTTCCTACTCGACGGTCCAACCGAACAGGTAGATCTTTTTTGGAGTGCACCACCCAAGCCCGCCACCACTTGGAAAACGAGGTTTCTAAAAAGATTTTTATACTTCAACGCAGCTCCTTTGGTGGGGGGGGGGAGGGAGGGGTTGGGTGGGTTTTAAGCAGGCCATGGTTGTGTTGAGGCCGTGCACGGTGGCCAAGCTAGAGAGTCAAGAGCTTTTATCGCGAAAGGTGCTGGTCGCCCTGGAGGGACTGGGGGCGGGCTGCCCCAAGACGGGCACTTTGGCTTGCGGGCTATTTTGAGCTGAAGGCCATCAGACTCTGAGGGCTCCAGAGAAGCTTTTGCCCCCCCCCCTCCCCCCACTACATGGAAGAATCTAAATTGGAGGTCTTTCCAGAATAAGTGTTCTTGCCAGAGATAAATGTTATCTGAGCGACCCATCTGTACGGCGGGGCAAACACCCGATTCCCAAACATCTGCTCTTTTTGTCACCCCGCGAAGTGCAAGTGCGTTCCTTCCCTTGAAGTCCCAGAGCCCTACCCCTTCTCCTGAGTTCAGAATGACACAGAGACCTCGTGTGGTCCATGTTTGGGATTTCCATGTCTGCGTGGATGCCCCGTATGGATGCCGATTACGTTTGGTTTTCTCCCGTTGATCGGGCTCATGTCAATTTGGTTCCGAGTCCAGCTCGAAGGACCTCTGAAGAGACAGGAATTCCTGCTCCCCGACAGCCCTCCCAAAGAAGGCTCTCCGGTCCCTTTTGAGGAACCCCTCCCCCCCTGCCAAGTGTAGGAAGGTGACCGCGTGCCCCTGGTTCTGGATCCCCAGCGTGTTTGGGGGCAGATCAGAGAGCTGGGCTTGGCCACTGGGCTCTCACAGGACTCTGGGCCCTGGGCAGGGGAGGACGGGAGGCCTGGGTGGAAGGTGTTGGCAGGGCGCTGACTAGATTCTTCTGGAAGGCCAGTACCCCTGGCTCCCCTGATTCTGTGGGCGCCCCTCCCCCATATCCTTCTAGTAACTTCCTGTCGCCTTTTCAGAGTTGGCGTCTGCAGCTTGGACCGTAAAGAGCTTTTGCACCCAGTGAATACAGTGACAGATGGCGTGGAGGAAGGCCCCAGACCCAAGATGCCTTCTTAGGGGACCAGTGCCCAAGGGCTTAGCGGGGCCCCGTGAGGCCTCTGCCTTTACTGGATCTTCAAGTTCCCAGTGAGATGCCCCCACTCTCACTCATCCTTCCTTCCTTTTGCTAAGGAAACCCAGGCACTCACTGCAGGGTAATGTGTGCACGTGTGCGTGTGCATGTGCAAGCATGATCTCTCTCTCTCAAATAAATACACGTAAAAAAAGAAGTTAGGGCGTCTGGGTGGCTCAGTTGGTTAAGCGTCTGACTTCGGCTCAGTTTGTGACCTAGCAGTTTGTGGGTTCAAGCCCCACGTCAGGCTCTGTGCTGACAGCTCAGAGCCTGGAGCCTGCTTTGGATTCTGTCTCTCTCTCTCTCTCTCTCTCTCTCTCTCTCTGCCCCTCCCTGGCTCATGCTCTCTCTCTCTCTCAAAAATAAACATTAAAAAATAAATACGTAAAAGATTAAAAAAAAAAAAGTTAACTGTGATTGGGTGAAACCACTACAGCTTTGAACTTCAAACTGCTGTTGGAAATAAAACCCCAAATCGGCTAGGGATTTCCTAGGTGCCCCCTTTGTGCCAGGCAGTGAGGTGGCACTTTGGGCTTGGCAGCCAGCGGCCCCAGAGATCTAGTGTTCTCTGTTAGGGAAGACGTCTTGGAGCAGGGGTAGGGGGAGAAGCAGGGGGGCAAAGGGTGGCCACAGAGGGAGGGTGGCGATGGGCTCCGAGGCAGGTGGCAGTTGCGGGCCACACAGTGGCTTCGTTTAGGGTGTGAAGTCCTCTGACCACAACAGCCACACCGATGTCCCCAGAGGGGTCCGGGGGCCGGACCCTGGACAGAGGATGTGAGGCCCTCTAGTTCTCAGGAAGTAGAAAAGCTGTTATTTACAAAGAACATATTAAACATCCACTGGAGAACTGAGCCCCCACCCCCACGGCAGAGAGGCGCTTCCTTGTTTGTCCTCACTGGGGGCAGAGTCTGAGGACAGAACTGATTCCTCTCGGCGCTGCTCCCCGCGTGTCTGTCTCCGGGCTCTGCCTTTCACGGCCCCCGCACTCAGAGGCGCAGCCGAGCTGTTTTGGGGGTCCTCATTGGGCCAGGCTCCCGCGGCATTCGGCGGCAGGGACGTGGGACATGTCGGAAGGCACCCTTGCCTCGGTCCATTTCCTGGTTCGGGGGCAGAAATAATTTCCAAGGGGCGAATGCAGAGTGTTCCGGAAAAAGGTCGGGCTCTTGCCGTTCTGTGCCTGGTGCTGGTTCTGTGGGGTGAGAAGGGAAGGAAACCTCACACCCTGGAGATGGTTCAGGGAGGTGGGGGGACGGGCCCCAAGCCCCCGATCTGATGGCAGGGACAGAGGGGTGTAGGTCCATCAGGAAGTTCACAGGGGCTCCTTTGGGTGGCCTTCTCAGATGGTCTTTAGGAGGCGGTGTTAAGGTCGACGATCCTTCTTCCATAATTGCCAAATCAGCGCCCATCCCCTAAATTGTTAACGTTATCCTCTCTCTCCACAGGAGTCAAGATGTGCCGAGTCCCCCGCTCTGGACGGGCAGGGTGGGCAGGAAGGGAGGGACGGAGGGCCGGGGAGCCGGGCTCACCTTTCACAGCCTCTGAGCCCCGTGCAAATCGTAGTCACTGTCGGAGGAGTTATCGGGCTGGGTGGAAACACGATGCAAGGCCCCTTCCAGAGCTGCAGAAAGAACAGAGGCCATTTGCAGCAGGCTCTATCCCCCCAGGCCACACAGAGAAAGAGAGAAAGCCCAGAAGCCCGTGGGGGTTTGAAGATCACAGGGGCTTTATGAGCTGGTGGCTGGACAGTCCCGGATCTGTTTTGATCAAATCAGCCAGCATTCGCTAATGATACTGAACTCCAGGCTCCCTGGGGCTTAATTGTTAGTGCCAGTCAGGGAGCATTCGATACAGGGCTCCTGCAGGCCGCAGATAGCTCTGTTCTGCCTCGAAAGAATCCGAGGGGCCTCGTTTACCATCCGGCCCTCAAGGCCCCGCAGAGAAACAGGCCTGTTAGGTCACAGCAGTGCCGCGGTTAATGGCATCCCCAGCTTCTTCTTCTCTCTAGTTGAGTGGCTCATGGTCTCCGGGGGGACAGCTCAGGCCTGTTAAGGCCGTATCCCTTCCGTACCCTGCTGTGACCACTGTCAAAGGTTCAATCGGAGCGCCCCCCACCTCCCGTCCCCGGGGAGGGGACGCTTCTCCGGGCCTTCGCATGACCTGTGCTCCCACCTGCCTTCATCCCCGGAAGCATCGGCCGCTGCTCACCTGGGCAAGCAGAGATGTGAGAGTTCCTAGGAGGGTGACTGTATTCATTCTCCACGTGCGACACTGCGGGGTTCTCAACCTGGGACCGGACGGTGGCCGTGTGGTTGCGATGGAAAGACACTGAACAGGTGCAGGAGATGGTGTCATTAACCTGGCTGCTCTGTCCTCTTCCTCCTTTCCCACAGGGGCCCAGAATTTCTATGGCACCCACAGCTCCTGGGATGCACCCCTCTACTCCTTTCTTCCAGGGCGGGCTCACGCTTGCAGGGGCCAGACTTTTAGAGCAGCTGGGGGTTGACCAGCAATCTGATTGGCGGGAAGGGCCTTCCGCTGGTCAGTTAGTCATTCATCAAACATGTATTAAACAGGGAACTGGAACACAAGTGCTAGGGGCAGATGCAGTCCCTCCTCTCCTGGAACCGAGGGCTTTGTCTTGTAAAACAAAACAGAACAGAACAAAAACCCTCCACAACACGGAGCCTTCTTGAAGGATCTGACCCTCGGCTTGCAAAAGGGAAGGAAGAACGTGGAGTGGAAAATGGGAGGGGGGCCGTAATTCCATCCGTTAGGGCGGAAGAGAGAGGATGAAGAACGAGGGTAGAGGATGGGCTAGCTGCTTCAAAATGTTTTAACACTGGCCTTTTAAAGTTGTTCCGTGATAAAGCTAGCTTGGCCAACCTTTCTTGCAGAAATGCCCGTTAAGGTTCTGATAAGTCCTGAAATAAAGAACCAACTCTAATTTTGCTTAACTCCTCCACTTCTAAACCTATGTGATCGTGGAGTCCTCCTTCCGGAGCACCACCTGTTCACACCTGGTGACCACAGCCCCACCTTAGGTGAGCACGGTGGAGGTCAGAGCCCTCAAGTAGCTGCTGGCTCCTCCCTCTGTGGTCAGCAGTGAGCCGTGACCCCTGTGGACACTGGCTGGGGCTGAGGGAGGACCTTGCCTCTGGGGACACTTACTGTTCTGGTTCATTCCTGTCGGGCCAATCCACTGGCGCTGCTTCCTCTGGCGGACTGGGCGACAGACAGGAAAGGCACGTGAGGACAAGGGCTGGGCAGGGATCGTGGGAGGGAAGGATGGGGGGAGGGAGCGGAGAAGGGAGGCAGGTGCAGCTGAAGGCAGGACTGCTGAACTTTGCCCCCTGAAGTCTTTCAGGGTCTCAGTTTCCTGACTTGCTCAGGAGGGTACCTGGACCAATCTCATGCTGAAGGAGCTTGTCTAGGGGCTGCTTCTCCAAGAGAAACAACCACAGGGCTTTAGAACCAGAACCTAGGAGGGCGCTGGGGACCCGGCCAACACTGTACCCCTCCAGGCCTTCTCTTTTCAGCCTCTCTAATCTCGCTTCCTGTCCCTGAAGAATTTTCTCCAGAGTTCTGCAAGGCTAGGATAACAGCCCCCTATATTCACGACAATCGCCCATTAGATGGATGAACAAACTGAGGCTCAGAGAGGAAGCCGCACGATCAGCATCCTGTGGCCGCCAGGGGGTGGAGCCAGGCCTGGGGCGTAGCACCGGAGGCTGGGGGCGTGCCTCAGTCTGAAGAATGGCCACGCCCTCCCCCTGCGTGCGCCAATCAGCACTTCTTACCATGTTCCTGACTTTCTCTTTCTGTTCCTATGGGCAGGAGAGCGGTGGGGCTGGGCGGGGCTGGGTGGCGAAGCAGAGGTGCCCTCCCGCCCACCCGGCTCCTCTTAAAGGGGCTTGAAAGGGAGGGCGTTTGGGGCGCCCGCACCTACATTTCTTCACCAGTTTTCGGTAGGCATGAGGGCCGCACACGACCAGCAGCACGGCCAGGAGCACAAGGCCCAGGATGATGCTCATCACGGTGCCTGCGCCCGGGCCTGCTGGGTTTGGGTCATGGCCTGGGGGAGACAGAGACGTCAGGGCGGTCCTGCCCGGGGTATCGGAACTGTAGGCTCAGAGAGAAGCTACTGGCCAGTTGGCTCCCCCGCCCCATCTGTACCCCTGCCCTTCCCTCTTGCTCCTTGCAGTAATTCACCAGCTTGTCCGGAAGGCAGTTATCTACTCCTCCTCCTCTCCCCCCTTTCTCGAATTCTCTGTTACCCATTCATCTGTCCCCCATCTGTCATCCAGCAATTCATCATCCAGCTATCATTTGCCACTCTTGTTCTCAACTATTTAACTTCCTACCCTTGCCCATTGCTTATAAGTGATCACCTTGCCATCATATTCTAATTGCCATCCATCCATCCATCCCTCCCTCTCTTTCACGCGTTATTCTTTTTTTTTTTTTAATTTTTTTTTTTCAACGTTTATTTATTTTTGGGACAGAGAGAGACAGAGCATGAACGGGGGAGGGGCAGAGAGAGAGGGAGACACAGAATCGGAAGCAGGCTCCAGGCTCTGAGCCATCAGCCCAGAGCCCGACGCGGGGCTCGAACTCACGGACCGCGAGATCGTGACCTGGCTGAAGTCGGACGCTTCACCGACTGCGCCACCCAGGCGCCCCAGTTTCACGCGTTATTCTATTACCATTTCTCTCTTGCTTTTCTATCTTCCATCCCGGAAGAGTAGAAGATAGGATGAAAATTCCCTACTTCATTGTGGTCAGTCTCCTATGTGCCGTTCACGTTCACTGCTGTCTGAGCACAGTCGCCCCTTCTCCCCCATTTGCCACCTCTCCATCCTTTTCTAGGGCTCCGGGGCTCCTGGATCCTGTCCTTCAGAAACATGCTCGCTGACTAGGTTCTAGAGAGAAAACCCACCGTGGGCCGTGGCCAACTCACATGTGACAAACACCCTCCTACAGTAGGCTTTTTTCTCTTGAAGCTGATAGCACTGGGACAGCTTCTCCTGGGGACAGAAGAGCCCATGGGAGGTCTCGATGGCATCCAGCACCCGGTAGGAGTCGACGCTGCCGCACTGCAGCTCCTGGCACACCTCCTCCCACCGCGCCGTGCCCTTGGGCCGGGGGCTGTCGCACAGGACTTCCCACTGTTTGCCCTGGCGCACCTCCACGGACCCCTCACACAGGCTGCGGCGTCCCACCAGGCGGCTCTGCACCTTGGGCTGGAAATCTGGAGAGGGGACGCAATGGAGGTCAGGTGGGAGGTTTGGAGGGAGCTCCCTCGGCCCCTGGCCTACACGCCCGGCCACGGGGGCCCCCAGGTCGCCGGCCAAGAGGGGGCCCCAGCGGAGCCCAGCTCATGGGCGGCTGGGAGCACCTTTCTTCCTGTCCTTCCCCCCTTCTTGCATCTTCTGGCATTTCCCCCATCAAGCTCTTTCCCTGGCACCTCTGGGCAGCGGCCGGTAGCTATCTGGAGGCGTGCGGGCGTGCGGCGCTTTCAGGGGAGAATCTGGCGGAGGGGAGACGCCCGCGGCAAACGCGGGAGGGAGTCGGCGCCCGAGCTGATGGAGGTAAGAGAGGAGCAGCGAGAAACAGGCTCCTCCTGGGTCCACTTCCCTCTGGGAACCATTCTCATTTTCCTGCTGCTCCTTGGGGGAGGGGGCCGGGTGGGAGTGCTTTTCCCGAAAGGAGAAACTGAGGCCCGGGATGGGACAGAACCCAGGAATCCTCTGCCCAGCCTCGAGGGGTGGGCTTTCATGAAAGGGCCTGGTCCTTTCAGAGAGAGACCCCGAATCCACTTCTGCGTGGCGGGGGGGGGCGGGCGCCGGGGGTCCACTGCCGGGGTCCTCAGCCGAGGCCCCCCTGAGCCGAGGCTCAGGGTAGAGTGACTTGTGATCCAACCGGCTTGGCCAGTTTCCATAGCAACATCTGTCTTCAAGGCCCCAGCAAGTGTTCTATTTAGAAAAGCCATTCAAAGGCAAGGCCTCTGGGTCTGTTTTGCAGGCTGTAGCCTGCTGGAGGGCAGGGGTGGGTGGGGCTGAGAGCCAGACCGTTTTTTTTTCCCTCATCAGGCCAGGAAACCCTGGGCCTGGGGTGGGGGTGGGGGGCGTGGAGGGGGCTGCTTCTACCTGGAGGGGCAGTGTTTTCACTCTTTCACCATAAGTATCCACCTGGGCTGGGGGTGGGGAGGTTGGCGGATGGGGAGGGGAGGGGTGGGGGTGGGAGCAGGTCTGCTAATGGGATAGCCCAGTGGTCCAGGGCAAAGCTTCCTAGATTCATGCATGCACCTCCCGCCCCGCCCAAGGACCCTGCTGAAATGCAGATCCGGGTCAGTCCAGGACCGCACTTTAGGCAGCCAAGGCTGAGACAGGTGGGGGCCTGGAGTGACACCGCTGGAGTAGAAATCCCAGCTGGTGCTCTGGGATGCTGGGCAAGACATTTAACTTCTCTGAGCCTCAGCTTCCTCATCTGTAACGTGGGCACAATAGCAGCCACTTCCTTGGGTTGTTGTGAAAATGAACGAATGTCCTGGGAGCGTCCCTGGTCCCATGTGAGTGCCGGGGAGGTATGACTTCTTACAGTCTGGACTCCACTAGAACCCTCCGGGGACGGGAACCCACCGCCTCCCAAGGCGTGCTAGGATTATTCTCAATCTGACCTGCGGTTCTGGTTTTGGGGTCCCCTAGGCCTTCCTCTTTGGCCTCCTCCCCTCAGCCACGTCGGATACCCAGGCTTCTGGTTGCCCTCCGTGCAGGAGCCTCCGCAGGAAGCTCTCGGAGGACCTGCTCTGGTCTCTCTCTGCCTGCTGTGCCTCGGGGACCTCCCGCTTGTCACCACCACTCCACCCTCTTCGGTCTCTGGGATTTACAAACTCCCCTCCGGCAAGGCTGCTTACCCTCCAAGCGCCCCGTCTGCTCTGGTCCTTGGCACAAGTCACAGCTCCCACCTAAAACGCCCTCTGTGCTCTGCTCCCCCCAAACCCATGCTCCTCTCCTCCTTCCAAACCTAAGGGAGACCTGGCTTCGTCCTGGAAGTCCTGCTGACCCCACCTTCCTGAGCGGCCGCCATGCCAGCAACGCATTGGGCTTGTTCGGTGTCACTTTGCAGGGACTCCCCAGGCGCTGGGTGTTGAGTTGCAGCCTCCCCACCCGGGCCTCTGTTTCCCTCCCGTTCATAGTGCCCAGTGCCCTGTGCTACATGCAGGGGTTTCCAGACACAGGCGTTGACTGACCGTCTGGGGGCGCCCCGTCCGGTCCTCACCGGGACTCACTCACCAGAACAGACGATGGCCAGAGCTTGGCCGCCCTCACGGGGCTGGACTTTACTGAAGCACTGCTCCAGGGAGGTACAGCTCGTGTTCTGGATCTTCCATCGAATTGGCAAGGGCCTGCTCTCCTCTGGGTCTTGGGCCCTGGCGGTGTCCTCCTCTGGCAGATGCTTCAGGAAGGAGCCACACTGGAGGGCCTCACAGATACGGTTCTCCAGGTCCTGGGTCTTGTCCTGCGCCTCGTAGCTGATGGCACCACCCCGGCTGCCCCAGTAGAACTCCACGACGCCGGCACACCGCAAGCCCCCGGGCCCTGCCACCAGCTGCAGCCTGGGAGGGGCTGCGGGGGGAGACAGAGGGCAGCAGGCCTGAGCTCGGCGGGGCTGGCAGTGGGGGCTTCCTTGCTCCCGGCCCTTTGGCTCTAACACAGGGACAAATGGAAGACTGGCCGACAGCCGTGGGAGGTGGTGAGGCCCCATATTGCACGGGACAAACACGAAGCCTTTCCACGTTTGTCTGAAACTCAAAGGCAACTGGGCATCCTGTGTTTTCATTGGCTAAATACAGCACCCTGCCCCCAGGGACCTCAGAATTCTCTTACCTGTGGGCTGCGGAGTGGTTGTGGGTGGGGGGGTCGTGGGAGGAGGTGCTGTCCTGGGCGGCTCTGCAATAAAACACACTCTGGTGAAGGAGGGACAGGAGCCCTGGGGAGGGAGGACTGGAGGTTTCAGGGAGAGAATGTGGGATGGGGGGGGGGAGGGGGGAGCGCTGGGAGCCCCTGGCAGTTTTGAGAAAGACCTGGAAGTCAGGATTTAAGTGCCACTGGCCCCGTTGAGCCCACTTGCCCCACACGTTGTCTCTAGGCCTCCTGTGGGGCGGGCAGCACCAGCCCATTTCACGGTGGGTACAATGAAGGTTAAGAGGAGACCTTAATGTTAGCAATCGGCAGAATCCGCTTTTGGGCCTCCTCCCTCCCACCAGACAGGTGCTCCCTCCCCCAAGCCCTCCCCCTCCAGTTCCCCAATGGTGTGTGTTTCTTTGGGGGGGGGGAGGTTATTGTCAATCAGGAGCTCCCTTCCACCTGCCTGCTCAGGCCCCAGATCCCAGGCCCCGGGGCAGCCTCCTCGGGGCTGGTACACAGGCCGAGCACACTGTGTGGCCGGCTAGTTACCCACCCAGGCAGATCAGGCCCAGAGGGTCCCTCTGGTTTGCGTTGCTGAAGCTGCAGTTGGAGAAGGACCCCACGAATCCGTGGCAGGTGATCTGGTTCTTGGGACTGTTGAAGTCAGGGAAGTGGGCAAAGGCCACGGCCTCCCCGCAGGACAGCAGGCGGCAGAGATTCGAGGCCTGCTTGGGGTCCTCCCAGTGGTTCGGGTTCTTCCCCCAGCTCCGGCTAGACACCGTGTGCCACGGTTTGTTGTTCTTGAAGGAGACCTCCAGCTGGCCCTGGCAGTGCGAGTTGGAGCTTGTCAGTCTCACCCGGAGCCCTGGGGGGTCAAAGAGGTGTATGCGGGTGGGTCAGGATGGGAAGGGCCCTCCGTGGGGGACCCCTCACGGCCTTCACTCCACCGGGTTCCCATGCCCAGCCAGGCTGTCTTCTGACCAACCCCCACCCCCACCCCCACCCCGGGGCTGCCTGCCTCGATCCTGGGAGCTCCGTCCTCTGGGGCGCTGCGGGGACTTCCCACACACTGGGGCGGTCCCCCGAAACCGGACCCCAGAGGATGGGGCTCGAGACCTCGGAGCCGACAGGAGCTCGGAATGGCAGGTTCTCAGCCCCCGTTCTCCAGCAGGATCGCCCCACTCCTGCAAATTCTGTTTCCATAGAAATAGGGCCTGGCACCCGTTTTGATTTTTCTAACTTTTAAATCAATTTTGTGAACACGACTTATACACAGTGAAATGCACTCATTTTAAGGGCACTTGCTCAATGGAATTTGACAGATGTACAGCCGCGTGTAAGCACCACCACGCTCGACTTGCAGCCCGTTTCCGTCACCCGGAAAGTTCCCTGGTGTCCCTGAATCCCGCCTCAGGCGACCACCGATCTGCTTTCTGTCGCGAAAGAGGAGTTTTGCCTCTTCTCAGACGTTATGTAAGTGGACTCGTTACCGTGTGTGTTTGCTTTTGCCGTTCTGTGTTTTTTGTCTGGCTTCTTTCTCTCCGTGTTTGCGGTTTCTCTGCATCCTGACATGTCTCACCTTCCTTTCTGTTGTGGAATAGTGTCTCACTGTGTGGCCAGGCCACTGTCTGTGCATCGAGCTGCCAGTTGGTTGCGGTGAACAAAGCCGCATGGAACATTCCTGAACTGATGTCTGTCTGTAGGGGCACGTGTTCCGTTTCTCATGGGTGAATACCTAGGGGTGGAATCGTTGGATGATAGGTAGGAACACGGAGGGTGTGATTTTATAAAGCTCCGTGAGAGGGAGAATAAGGGTATATATTTGCTTCTGCGTAGATTCTGAAAAGGGAGACAAGAAAGGAATCCATGTGGCCGTCACCTGGGGTGTTAGGGTGAGGGAAGGACTGGGCAGATGGGAAACAGAAATGGAAATGAGATTCTTCACTGTAAGTCTTTTTATATTTTTAAAGTTTTAAGCCAGGCAACTGTATTACCCTATTCAAGACTTTTTTTTTTTTTTTTTTTTTAATGTAAAAAGATTTTTCCAAGTGATTGGGAGGTAGAGATTTTCCCTGGTTGGAAACTTCTGGTCAGGCTGCCTTTTTCTTCTAGGCTTGGGGAGCAGAAGCACGGGGCTCGCTAGGGCTTGCCAAGGTCACTAGACTAGTTAGAGACGAAGGGGACTTGTTCCAACACCTGACATTGGCAAGATATCCTGAAGCTTTCCCTCCAGCGAGCAGACTAACTGAATCCCCACCAGGGAACAGATTTTTCTCCCCATTTTATAGGTGGGGAAATTGGGGCTTATAGAGGACAAGCCACTTGCCAGAGCTCACAGCTAGGATGCCTCTGTAGTCCCGCCAAGGCCCCTGCGGCCCCTTCTGGTTGCACGTGGCTTCGTGAGACTCTAGCCACGTTTCTCCCAAAATACATTCAGCATGATGTTATCTTAGGAGATGTGAAAGCGTGAGGTCTGGGGTGAAGCGAATCTGAGAACTGCTGAGTTAAAAAACAAAAACATTTAACAGGTTTCTTCCCTGCAGGACTTCTCAGGGGCTTTCCTAGCCGGCACACTGGTTCAGTCTCCAGTGAGTGACATGATATTGCCTACCTTGTATCCAACATGTTCCATGGAACCTTGTTTGGGATACACTAGCCTCTTCAAGTCCAACCTCGAAGGCAGGGCATTCGACCTGCTTTACAATCTTGTGCCGCCTTTCTGTGCGGCCTTGGCTGCAAATACATTTGACCGGGGAGATCCGGCAGGACTGAGAAGGAAACAGGACTCTGCAGGGTGCATTTATGGGCCAGTATGTTTTCTATGCATGGTGAGTGGGTTATAATGATAATTATCATGAGGACTGGCATTTTGTATGGTGCCTTACGGCCATCGAGGGCATCCATCCGCACATGGGCGTCTAAGTGTGTGTGTGTGTGTGTGTGTGTGTGTGTGTGTGTGTGTGCTGGGGCTCGCTCCCTCTGCGGGGTGGGGTTCACCCTGGCAGGTCCCCCTACAGCCTGATGGAATCACAGCCCCACCCCACCCCCAGTCACCCCCTGCTCCAGGCCTCTGTATGGCCCTTCCTTACCTGAGTTCTCCACGTTGGGCCCTCCCAGGCAGGAAGTGACTGCAGAAAGGAGAGAGGAAGATCAGGATGTGGAACCTCCTTCCTGCCAACCCCCCCCCTTACACCCTGAGCACACAGCCTGAGCAGTGGCCTCTTCTGCGCCCCCCAATATGGGGTTCAGAGGCAGAGAGTTTCATACTACACGTCAGAATCCCTAGGAGGGTCGTGAAACCAATTTTGTGGGTTGCAACGGTCAATTTTTTTTCCTGTTTTTAAACTTTTCTTTTAAAACGAACGTCAGTAACATTGATTTGCCTTTAGTGCACAGATCTATAAATGTTAACACATACATAGATCCGTCTGATCACCCTCCTGGTCAAGGTAATATTTCCATCGCCTCCCAACGTTTCCTCGGGCTATCCCCTTGTAGCAACATGCAGGCTTACAACCGTTAATTTCTTAAAAATTATTTAGTAATAGCAACCATCAAATCTTGGCAAACTGAAGTGAACTAGAACAGAGAATGACTGTGAAGATAGGGATCACTTCTTAGTGCATTCGGCTGCACCGTAAAACTGTCGCGGGCGTTGCTTTCAATCTAAAAAAAAAAAAGTTCGAAATTCAGGGGCACCTGGGCGGCTCAGTCGGTTAAGCGTCCGACTCAGTTTTGGCTCAGGTCGTGGTCTCACAGTTCGTGGGTTCAGGCCCCGCGTCGGGCTCTGCGCTGACAGTGTGGAGCCTGCTTGGGACTCTCTCCCTCTCTCTCTGCCCCTCCCCTGTTGGTGCTCGCTCGTGCACTTGCTCTCTCTCTCTCTCTCTCTCAAAAGTAAATAAAGCCGTTAAAAAATAATTTAAAAAAAAAGCTTGAACTTCCTGGTTGTAGAGAACCAGAGAAATGACCCAGAATGGGCAACCCGGGCACCATTTGTTACTTCTTAGTCTCCCCATGGCAGGATAGAAATGACAGTGATTTTTTTTTTTTAAATTTTTATTTTAAAAAAAAAATTTTTTTTTTCAACGTTTATTTATTTTTGGGACAGAGAGAGACAGAGCATGAACGGGGGAGGGGCAGAGAGAGAGGGAGACACAGAATCGGAAACAGGCTCCAGGCTCTGAGCCATCAGCCCAGAGCCTGACGCGGGGCTCCAACTCACGGACCGCGAGATCGTGACCTGGCTGAAGTCGGACGCTTAACCGACTGCGCCACCCAGGCGCCCCTTTTTTTTTTTTTTTTTTTTTTTAATTTTTTTTTGACAGTGATTTATTTTTAACAGCTCCCAGCTTCTAGAGGAGGAAGTCGAAGCTCAGAGAGGTTGGGGCTGGCTCAACGTAAGGCACAAAGGGGTCAGCCGGCCACTGTCCCAGCGAACACGGGTCTTAGGGATCTGGCCTCCCCTCTGGCGTGGCTCCTGCCCAGGCACGTTCAACGGTAACGTGGGCCAGTTGGGACGTCGGGCCTTCTCCCAGCCCCTTCTGACTGCTGAGTGGGAAGCTCACGGAGCAGCCTGTGGCCAGTTCATCTGTGGCTGCCGTGGAGGTTTGATTTGGGCCGGCAAGGGACGGAGTGGGGGGCACGCTCGTGTGGCCTCAGAGCCCACCCCCCGGGTTTGCCACTCAGGTTTGTCAGGCATGAAGTAGGTGTTTTGATTTCCATCTGCCTGACTCCCAGGCTTGCTTTCTCGACTGGGATCCAGGGTCACTACTTTACAGAGCAAATAGTTCCGTTTAAGTTGCTTTGGGGAAATTACTGTCGGGTGTTAAAAATGTGTTTTGGGCGCCTGGGTGGCTCAGTCGGTTAACCGTCTGACTCTTGACTTAGGCTCAGGTCGCGATCTCACGGTTGTGAGTTTGAGCCCCGTGTCGGGCTCACTGCTTTGTCGGTGCAGAGCCTGCTTGATATCCTCTGTCCTCCTCTCTCTGCCCTTCCCCGCAGACCCTTTCTCTTTTTCTCAAAAATAAGTCAAGATGAAAAAGAAACATAGGTGTGTTTAAAAAAGCCTGTTTTTGCCTGAGTGTTCCAGAGGCAGTGGTAGCATTTTAAGGGAAGACATGCCCCAGCCAGCCAGCCCTCTCCCCGCAACCAAGACCCCTTGTGATAAAGCCGTCAAGGCACCGTGATGCTCAGGGCTGGTGTCACCGCTGGTGGAGCTGGTCAGGCCTGGGGAGGACGGCGGGCCTGCCGGGGAGGAATGGCTGCCTGTCTGGGATGCTTGGAGAGCCAGAGAAAAGGGGTCTCACCACTTCTCTCTCCCCCTGGACACCGTCATCTTCCCAAGGTCACCATAGTCAACATTCATTAGTAACAGAAGCGAACAATTATTGAGCACCTACTGTGTACTCAGCACTCAGGGTGGTTCCTTATGGACATCATTATTAATCTCCCATACGGCTCTATGATGCGAGTTGAATCCAATCATGGTGCAGATACTGGGAGAGGGAAAAATGCTTTGTCCAGGCAGATACTGCCAACAACTGGATTCAAACTGTGAGTTTGCCTTCCGAACCCATGCTCTCTGTCACCTAGTTGTGTCTCCAAAGTGCCACGTTTGGGGATGCGGAGATGAACGTGCCCGAGCCCCTGACCCCGAGGTGCTGGAACCCTCAGACATTGAATCCTCTGCGGGGAGGGGGTGGACCAGACCATTCTTGCAGATCTCACACAGAATGGCCCAGGCCCTGCTTAGAGAACATTCTTGGGAAAGACTGAACAAGATAGAGAACCAAGTAAAGTCCCTAAATGCTCTGCTGAGGAAGGGCGTCTAGGTAGCCCAGGGCTTTGTCTCTCTCTGGGTGCCTGATGTTCTCAGTAGGGCAGCATTTCCTGGCTCGTCCCTCATCCGGGCATCTGTATACATTAATTCTCTCAAACTTCACCATAGCTCTATGCAGTAGGCATCATCATTTTGATCCCCATCTTATGCGTGAAGAAATGGAGAAAGATTGGCCAACTTGCCAAGCCGCTGATGACTGTTGGGGCCGGTTCTCCAAGCCAGGCCATCTGTCACAGACTCTGCGCTCTTGACTGCTGGGTCACACTGCCTCCCCTCCCTTCAGAGGGAAGGCTGTGACAGCCTGCCCCGTGTTTCACCAACATCCTGCATGCTTCGGGATGTGCAAACCTGATGAGAGGGAATGGACTTGAAATTCCGTTCAGTTAGTGAAACGTGCCATGGGGAGGCTTGTCCACGAACTTGCTCTGTGACCTTGGCCAGCCTCTCTGGACTTGGCTTCCTCACTGTAAAATGAGGAAGTTAGACTCCATGATCCCTCACCTTCCTCTCGGTTCACACCTCTCTGATCTATAATCTTTAGTTCCTGGTGTATCTCAGTGGCTGGCAGGGGGCCAGGCAGAAGCGGACGCTGAGATTCTGTGTGTCCAGAGACAGGTTCAGGTTTATCATCGTCCGTGACATTTTTTTTCATTCTTTTAGCTGCTTCCCACAGGGGTCCAACAACTTCCTTCCCTGGGACCCTGCAGACTGTGCTCAGGTTCTCCTGAGACCCTCTGGGGCTGCGGCTTAGCCGGCCCCCCCGTCTGCAGCCTGAGGCCCAAGGCTCTATGGCTGCAGAATCTGCAAACAGAAGCCTGGAGCCCCGGGAGACCATGAGGGACGCGAGGCATGGACGCGTGGTGTCATTTCCTAATCCGCCATCCACAACTACAGCCGAGCAGCTGGGGCCAGGACTGAGAATCCTCCAGAGGCCCCTTCCCTCCCCTGTCAGCCTTCCCTCGGAGCCCCACTATTTCGGGCTTGGAGTGGCCGAGCCCAGGCAGAGCGCACGGCTGAGAAAGTCTGAGAGAGAGAGAGAGAGAGAGGCTACGTTTTCGCTCTCCCGGCCCCTCTCTTCATCTCCACATTTGCAGAGCGAGGCACCCTACTGTCACCCCGTGTCCGGAGGGCCCCCGCTTCAAACACATGATGGGCTCTGCAGCGAAGCACATGAATTTTCACACTAGGTAGGACGCGCGAGATTATAAATAGCCCCCCGTTTGTTCAGGTCAGGATTTGCCCCAAGGGCGTTTTCCAGAAATCTACAAACGTTTTTTTTGGGGGGGTTGGAATTGCAGATGCACGTTCGTGGGCCCGTGTTAGCGGTTCCACTCGGCGGTACTTAGCAGAGCTGGGACTGGGCCCAGGCTGGCCAGCCCCGGGCTCACTCACAGGCCCTGCCGGGACCCACGCACATTTGTCTTTGCAGCCACCATACGCTGGCAAAGCAGTGGAGGCATGGCGGCAGGGTCCCAGGGAAGGGCTGGGACACCACGGACAGTCACAGTGACAGCGAACGTCGATGGAGCTCTGACCTTGAGCAGACCCCACCTCCTCTTGACAGCCTCACTGAAGGGGGCCGTCACCACCCGGTTTCCCGGATCAGCCAGCGGACGGACTTCGTGGGGCTTGGCGGTCCTATGCTCCGTTTTGCCATAAACAACGATTCCCTCGAATAGTCCACACACGTCTCACCGATTTCCAGCAAACACCACACGTTGGGCTGCCTTCTGGGGGCGTTCTGGATTTTTCTTCCTTTTGTCCTCTGATGAGAGGCTGACTTGGAAGGTCAGAAGCCCCCCCTTTTCTGAAATGACGCTAATCAGCGGAGCCGTGTCTAACCCGAGTCTGTATCAAGGCTTCAGGGAAACAGAGATCACAAAGGCCCCCAATTGCGTTTCTCCATCGAGCACCAGACGAAGTGGTTGGTTTTTGATCAGGAGTCTTTTTATGTGCAGAACGTGGAGAGTCACACAGTTTGTAATCCCGCGCAAGGGGCCTGCGCCGTCCCACCCGGCACATGCCGGCCGATCGCCGGCAGGACGACAGGCACGGTCTACACTGTGATCGCTCTCTCGCTGGTGGCCTGCTCTGTCCAACTGAATTTGCCTGAATTTCATGCCACACATGCGTCTCCAAGGTGACAGCGACAAGCCCTCCGTTTTGTTCAGAGCTTCGCACGTCCCAGAGTTTTTTTGTACCCACAGCCCCGTGAGGACGGGCCCATGCTCATTCTCATTTTTTTTCAGATCGGGAAACTGAGGTTCAGAGAGGTCGAGCGACTTGCCCAAGGGCACACAGCTTGCTGATGGTGGGGTCAGGACAAGAAATAACATCATCTTCGCTTGATAAGGCCCTATGGGAATCTGCCACCGGGAGAACCAGGAGCCTGCTTACCCCTGGCGTACAGATAGGGGACACTGAGGCCAGTGAGGGAAGGGCTCACTCTAGATACCTCCATGGGAGTCTGTGGTGGTGCAGGACCCTTTTAGCCTCTGCCAACCACCACCAATTCCCTACCCTGTCCCACCGCACCTGTCCCAGCTGTACCCCAAGGGAAAAGGGAGTCTCAGCGTCCCTGTGGGAACCGGATGTGATGTTGACGGTGGTGGTGGTAGCTAGGGAGGAAGTGATTCAGGGCCCTCATCCCTCATCATCCCTCAAAACCCCAAACCAGAAGTCTTTTTCTGGTGCATTTGGCGGGAAGGCATTTGCAGCCTTTATGGGTCTCTCTTAGTGCGAATTCGTGTTTCACTGAATGGGAACATGGGTGTTGCCCGAGACCTCGTCGGCGTGCAACGAGCGCCCAGCACATACACGGTATGACCTGCGATCTGGAAGATTCTGAGTTCCCAAATGATCTGGCCCGAGGCTCGGGATAAGGGTGTGTGGACCTGGGAAGGTGAGGGGGACCATTCCTTTCGAGGGCACTTATCCCACTTCCTCTTCTACTCTTCCTGCACGGCCCCTCCCCACCAGGCTGGGTGCCCACAGGCCCGTCTGCCTGGATCGTCCTCACCAGTCCCACCCAGTGTGAACACTCACTTCCTACAAGCATTTGCCCAAATATTATCTCCTTGTGAGATGCACTGCCCCCTCCCTGGGTAAGCACAACCCCCTCCCCCCAAACTGCCCTGCAGCACTCCCAATCCCCCAGCCCCACCCCACGCATGACTTCCCAGCACCCAGGCCATCACTGGTCTTCCCATCACACCCCGACTACTATCTTGGATCCACCAGGGAAGGGATCTCGATTGTTCAGTTGTGTCCACAGCACTTAGAATAGTGGCCGGCATATAGTAGGTGCTCAATAAATCCTTGCTGTCTAAATGAATGGATGAGCCACCTTTAACAATTGCATTGTCCCTTAAGGTGGGCACGGTCGTCATCCCCAATTTTGAGATGAGGAGGCTAAGATTCTCGTGTTCTTGTCATCTGTGAGTGGCCCGATGGAAATCAAACTGCAGTCCGCGTTACTCCAAAGTCCCACAGGCCTTCACACACGCGCACGTGCACACAACCCATATGCACACAAGGACGCACACAGCACGCTCGCACGGGTTCATACACGCACCCACGATGCGTGCGCACACACGGAGTAGGTGACCCATCAATTTTATCAGGCAGAGTTGAGGTCCCTCCTCGGTCTCTGTGGGGAAAACCCTGCTGAGGTGTTGGCGCTGGACAGAGTGACCGGAAGGGCCAGGGACAGCCCCTGAGCCCCCAGGTCCCTCTATTCCCTGGGAAAAGAAGCTGGCCGTTTGCTTTGCTCCCAGAACTAGCAAGACCCTCAGCCTCCACATCGTGGAACCGCGGACCGGGCAGCCTGCTCGCAGCTAGAGCCCCTCTCCCCTCCTCTCCCATGGATGCCCAGCCCCTCTTGGGCCTGTCCTGACCATTGCCTGTGCCCCCGCCAACCCCTGGGCACACTTCCCTCTTTTCTCTGCCCGGCTGGCTCTTTCCTGCATCTGCTTGGCCACTGAGTCTCAGCTGTTGTCTCCTTCGTTGTACTTAGCACGAGCTCTAGAAACTCGGGAGTGTTTGGGTGCTCTTGTCCAGGGCTGGCTGTCCCTAGTGCGTTTACACAGAGCTGGACACATGCTGGATGCTCCATGAATATTCGTAGATGGAGAAACGAAGGCGTGAATAGTCTGTGCAAAGGGACTGGGGAAGAGAAAGATCGATGGCCAGGCTAGCGTCTGGCAAGACTCTGCTTCCCCAGGTCCTCCATCACCTTGTTTCCTGCTGACTCGACCCTGGTGATGATGATGGTCATGATTGCTACGACCATCAGTGCTTGCTGGGCACCTACTACCCTCTAACCGACCTTCCTACCAAAAGCCCTACGTTCATTGATTTGTTTAATCCTGATAAGTCTCTATGGGACCCCTGCTCTTTTATTATTCCCATTTTGCAGAGGAGGAAACTGAAGCTGACAGAGTGGTCCGAGGCCGCCCAGCTGGCAAGTGGCGGACCAGAATTCAAACGGCAGAGCCCATGACCTTGCCATGCTTCAGTGCTGGTGGCTGGGCTGGACCCTCAGGGCTGCCTCCGCCCTCCTCCCCCTTCTAGGTGAGCCCCAGGCAGTTTGGGGTTAAGGACAACGACAGGAGGGAGCGGCTGTCACTGTCACCCCAGGTGTACCGCGGGCATCTTCATGCCCCAAAGGTCCCCAAGTTGCTGGCACAACCTTGAAGGCCAGCCAGGAGACGCAGCACCCCCAGGGGTCTGGTGGTGGGGCGTCTCCTCCTGGAATGGCTCAAAGGGTATGTGTGCTGTTTGCCCCCAGCCCCAGCTCTGGCCCTCGGGGTCCCCTGCCCTTGGTGCTCCTATCCGCAGGTGGCAGTTATGTTTTGCCGCCATTTTCTTACTTGTGTGAGTGGCTTTGGGGTGTCTGTGCTCTTCGGGGACAGGGAGCCTCCGTGACAGCAGGAGCGCTGGGCCAGGGTCGGCTCTGCTGCTCACTAGCGCCGTGCCCTAGGCCTGCCTCTCGGCTTTTCCGGAACTCAGTTTTCCTGACTGTAAAATGGGGGCAACGGGCCCGCCTACCTCACAGGCTGTTGTGAAGCTTACAGAAGAAAACGGCTTTACGCGTCTTTTGCAAGCTGTGACCCACCAAACAATGGGAATGTTTATTACCCACCAGTTCACACAAACCCACACCGGGAACCATGAGCTCCTGGGGTTCCAGATGGTTCCCATACTCCCTGTGATGGGGCTGCCTCTAAGTCTCCCTGGCTCTGGGCTCCACGGGGCTCCACTGGGCTCAGGGAGCTGCCCGATCCTGCCAGGACCTGGCCCCTTGATGGCATTCGGATGGGAGACCCATGGAGCAGGGTCCCTCCCCCAGCCCCAGCTGGGAGCCTGGCCAGCCTCCCTGCTCCAGTCGGGTCAGAGGCCACAGGTCAGGGACAGCTGAGGGACCTCGGGGTCCATCCTAGGAATCCTCAGGGCCAAGGAAGCCCCAGCAGCAACTCAGGAGGGTCCCACCTCCCTGGGGACATCTGCCCTGGGGACAGGAGGCATGGATCTCTTGCAGTTTCATGTTAAAAAGTGCCATGTGAGCCTGTGTGTGTGCACATGGGCCATCGTCCGTGTGCGGGGGGAGGTAAACCTACATTTGGAGACCATGTCTGGCCCGTGAAGACACACACACACACACACACACACACACACACACACACACCCCTACATACACATACACACATTCGTACCTGCTCACACACATATACTCAAACGCTACGCCCCAGCCTGTCTGGGAGGGCCTGAGGCTCCCTGCTCAGGCAGGCCATGGTCCCCGCGTCCTTTCCCTCCAAACTGGGAAACCGCAGCCCCCTCCAGTTCCCACCTGTCCCGTAGGCAAGCATCTCTCTCGCCCCACGGTAACCCCCAAACCCTTGAGAAGGGGGGCAGACCTCGTCCAGTTTACCCCCTGCTTTTCATAAATGGGGAGACCTCCAGCTTCTACCCACTCCCTCCCAGCAAACAGGAGGCCCCAGACTCACCCACCCCTCAGCTCCTCAGAGGCCCCGGGGGGCTTTCACAGTGGCCCAAGAGCGGACCCAAGTGCGTGCTCACGCCCTGGCTGGTGGGCCTGGCTGGGGCTCCCCTGGGACAGAGCGAGGGAGACTGGCACCTAAGGGTGCATGTCTGACACATGCCCAGCTGTGTTCTCAGAGGCGGCCCCCACCCTGCCTGGGCCCACTGTGCTCGGAGCATCATCAGAACTGCCCAGGAGACCGTGAGTCCCCATCCCTGGTGCATCCAGGTAAAAGGTGGGCACTCAAGGTTGGGGGGGGGGTGGCGGTCCAGCTGCAGAGGACGCTCGGGCCAGATGGGCACTGGACGACTTGATTTCTGGGCTGAGAGTCTGATGGGGCACGGGTCCCACCTGAAAGGGTGCGGGAGCGAAGCAGAATGGGGGGCGTGCAGTGAAGGGATGGGGTGGGGGGGACTGGCAGCGTGGCCTCAGCCCTCCCTGATGCTCCAGAGAGGTGCCATGTGGGCCTGAGTCAGACCAGAGCAACAACTGGCATCTTCTCCCTTGCACCCCTGAGTCCCAGTACCCGGTACATGCCCCAGGCGGGGTACTCACCCAGCACCCCCAGCAGGTACAGGGCGGCCAGTGGTGGTTGCTGAGACCCCATGGGCGCGGCCTCCTCCTGCCTCAGCCTCGCCAAGCTCGGCACCTGTGGGCGAAGGGTGTCTGGTTCCTGGGTCTCCCTCTCAGGGAGGAGGGGTGGGGCGGGCCGGCGCGGGCAGGGGTGGGACAGGGGAGCAGGCAGCGTGGGGCCCGCGTCATCCGTGTTTGAAGTTGAACTGTCAACTTCCTCCTGGCAAAACCATCTGCCCCAGTTCGAATGGCGGCCCCGGCCCCTGCCAGCTTCCTGCCTGAGGCGCACCGGGCTGGGGCCGCGTCCCCCCACCCGACCGCAGGACGCCGGGCCAGGCTGCGGGCCACACCGCCTGGCGGGGGTGCCACGGTGTTGGGGAGCTCTCGGCCGGGCTGCGGAGAGGGAGGAGGCCTGGCCCCCACAGAGGGGAGGCCCGAGGGGGGACTGAGGGGGCGGGGGACCAGTCCCCGAGGCAGGGGTCGCACTGACATGGCACTGAGCTGCGCTAGGTGGTGAGCAGGGGAGGTTGGGGGGGGGGGCCACATCGGTTCCAACCGCAGGCACAGCGGTGAAAAACCAGAGGAGGCCCTCGGCCTCCCCTTCCTGGGGATGAGGTGGGAATTTGAGGTGACTCCCCCGCAAGAAGCGGGTCCCTCCACGGATGCTGGGCTCGCGTCGGGCTGCGTGCGTGTGCATGTGAGTGACCGCCGTGTCGGTGCGTGTGATCTCCACGTCAGCGTGCGTGCGTGCGTGTGCGTGCGTGTGCGATCGCTAGGTCAGTACGCGTCATTTCCATGTTGCGATGTGGCGCCCACAAGTGCTGGAGTCAACCTTTGGCCTGTTGGGGAAGAGGCAGGGTGGCTGGGTTTCTGCAAATTATCCGGTTGGGGGGGGGGGGGTAGGGGAGAGGGGGCGGCGGGACGGGCGCAGGGAAAGGGCCGCAGCACCCCCCCCCCTCCACCCTAACCCCAGGGGCCTGGGCCGGGTTCAGTCCCTCTGCACTCCAGGGCGGGGTAGACCCAGACCCAGGCTCCTTGGGGCTTCTTGTACCTGAGCCCTCTGACAAGGTTCAGAGACACAACACGGTTGACCGTGAAGAAGTGTGACCTCCCCTCCACACCCGTCTCACCCTGCTCCTGCTGGGCCCCCTCCTTCTGCGCCCTAGGATGGCTCCAGCAGCTGCTCGACACCTCCGTCCGCCCCCCCCCCCCCGCCCCCACCGTCCCTCATTCAACACCGTCCTTGTCTCCTCTCGGAGCATTTCAGGTGCTTTGTATCCGCTCATCGGAGGCAAGAATTGAGGTCCGGGTCAAAGGCTGAGGACCCCCAAGATAGTCGTGATGTGGGGGACACACTGACCACCTCATACAGGATTCAGAAGGACCCCTTCCCCTCCTCAGAGGTGACTCTGCATTAGCATCAGCTAACCCTTCCAGGGCCTGCCCCCTGCCTTCACATCCTTCCTTCCTGTCCTGTGACTCTGGAAATCCCAGAACTTTTATTCATTCATGCGGCAAAATTTTGCCCCGTGCTACCCACCAGGGACGCAGAGGTGAAGGAGACAGAGATGGGCCCCACTCTGCCCACCGAGGAGTCCGAGGGCCCCTCTGGAGAATTTTTCTCTTAAAGACTCCATGTTTAGAAAGCTTTTATTGGTGGGGCGCCTGGGGGGGCTCAGTCGGTCGAGCGTCCGACTCTTGGTGTCGGCTCAGGTCATGATCTCACGGTTCGTGAGTTTGGGCCCCGCATCGGGCTCCGTGCTGATGGCTCGGAGTCTGTTTGGGATTCTCTCCCTCTTTCTCTGCCCCTCTCCTGCTTGTGCTTGCTCTCTCTCTCAAAAATAAAACTGAAAAAAAAAAGAAAGAAAGAAAGAAAGTTTTTATTGGTCACACTCGCTTCACGTCTTAAGTGGCCCTTCACACCCTGGGTTACCACACTCCGCTTACATAACTGCACTTTGAAAGGGACAAGGGATTTTACTGAGCATCTAAGTGAGCCTGGGTGTGGTCTCTTTTAGTCTTCCCGGCCTTCACGGGGAAGTGGGTGGAGTTTTCCATTTCACAGAGGAGGAAACTGAGGCTCAGAAAGCAATGCACTTGGCCTCAGGAGGTCAGACTTAAGATCTGAACCCACGTTTCTCCGTCTTCAAAACTTTTGCTACTCCCCGCCACCCCCATGTACCAAAAGCAAAGAAAACAAACAGAAAATTTGACTTTTTATGTGATCCCTGAGTCTTCATTACAGACAAGTCCGTGGGTTCTAATAATCCCTTCTGTTTGTTTCTGGAAAGTTGGAGGCAACTCCGGGGCCCCTGAGGCTCGGTTCCTGACCCATCCCAGTGAAAGGGCACCTCCACCCAGCCCAGTGGGCCACCTCCCCTGCCCCCCTCTCGCCCTCCCTCTGGGTGCCCAGCCCCCGAGAGTTGCTCCTCCTGCCTCCCAGGCTCACAGTCCCCCATCAGACCCCAGATCCCAGGTGGGAGTTTCCTGTTCTCAACATCGAACTTTCCATGACACAAGAGGAAGTCAGCTGAGCTGGGGCTGGGTTTTCCAAGCAGCCCAGCCAGACGGGAGGGCGGGCGTGGAGGCCGAAGGGGCAGGGAGGGGGTTAGCAGCCCTCAGGGCCCGGTATCAGTACCTCCTTGGCCTCTGCCAGAGAGGCGCCTGCCTGTGCTGTCCTGGCCCACACCAGGTAACCCCCGGGGGTGCGCATGCGTCTGTCAGCCGGGCTCTGCTACTCCCCAGCGCCCCCAGGATTTGCCCTCTTGCCAGTGCAAAGGGGCCACTGGGGCCGCCTGGGGAAGGGGGAGGAGCTGAGCCCTGGGAGGCAGAGAGGGGTGGCTGGAGGAGAGGAAGGAGGCCCAGGAATGTGCCTGGTACCTAGTAGGACCTCAGTGTTTGTTGAATGAATGAATGAATGAATGAATGAATGAATGAATCTGTGCAATGGTTGCCAAAGACCTTGGGATGGCCTGGTGGCCAGGGGAGATGCCTCTGCCCGATGATGGTGGGACGAGCTCTCCAAGAATTTATTTGTGAAATGACTCGGTGACCTGAATCCTTGAAAACCTGTAGTTGGCAGCTTGGAGAAGGGGGTCCCACTGAGAGGATCAGGCTTTGCAGAAGGACACCCCGCCCCCCACACCAGGAAGTACATCCTTTCCCGCGGGCTTTGCTCCTGCTCAGTTAGATCATTGGTGGGGGGTTGGGGCTGGAGGAGGGAGAAAGTGGGGCATGATAAGATCAGATTCCGGTTCTGGATGGGCAGCTGAGGGGCACGCAGGTATGGTGGCCCGGGCAGGTGCCAGCGTTCAGATTGCCCCCGGTTGCCAGGTGGGTGCTGAGGGCCTCGGATGACTTATCTGTAAAATACGGGGTTCGATGATCCTGAGGCCGGTTCTCTTGTTCTAGGAACTCCCCAGGGCTGCGTCAGTTGGTTTTCTGTCCTGGGACCTGAAAGGTTTGACTCTTTCTTTTGTGTGACAAGGTGTCAAGGGCTGGGTTTTTGGCAAAAGGGCAGAGGGCAGGAGATTGGAGGTTATGCTGGAGAGGGGTGTGCTGGCTCTGTGAGGTGGCTCGGTGTGTGCACTTCCCCGAGTCCCAGGGAGGTGGGGCTGCCCTCGAGGGCCTGTCCAGCCTGCAGGGACAGGTCAGGGCACCTTCCCCCCAAATCTTTCCCAGCCCCTCCTGGGAGCTGAGTTTTGCTCCCTGACAATCCTGGGCTCATTTCCTGGTAGTGAAATCTTGGGTGTATGACTCAAGCAAGGTACCTAGACTCCTCATCTATACATCATGATGGCTTGAAGATGAAACAGAATCATCTGTGTAAAGGGCAAAACACAATCGTGGTTTGATTATATCGCGACGAACCTTGATTATATCGTGACGAACATACCAGGGTGGGGACTAGAAGGTTTGGGGGTCTGGAAGCCGACTTTCCCTTCTGACCAGGTGAATGATCTTTGGGCAACTTATTTCCCTCTTTCGAAACTTCCTTTTTAAGATGGAGTAGGGGATGATCCCTACGTGGCAGGGCTTCTAGAAGTTTCCATCACAAAGACACAAAGGGTTTGCAAACTCTAGTGCAATCTCTTGGGTGTGAGGGCTGGTCAGCTGAGGCCTTGTCTAGCCCAGCGGACCCCAGGGACTCTTCATACTTCCTTGCTGGGGCTCTGTGCATGGGGCCCAGAAGACGACCTTGAATGAACCGACCTCCCCTTTCTCTCTGACCCCCTACCCCCACGCGAGTCTGCTGCAGGCGTTCCAGTGGTGTGTGTGCAAGAGACACATCCCCAGTCCCTGGTCCCCTGGCGGGTGTGAATCACATATCTCGGGGACTCAGCGTTCATGGTTTCTCTTCTGTTGCTCCTGTAAGTAAGACTGGATTTGTTCGACCACGGGGCGTCGTTTTGCTGAAGAAAATAAGACCACCGAGTACAGAGAGTAGGGCAAGTGTTAACCAAGCCCATTTTTCAGATGAAGTAACTGAGGATCAGAGAGGCACGGTGAATTCCCCGAGGCACACAGCCAACTGGCAGTGAGGTTTGGACCGGACCCCCGGGGTCTCCTGGCCTATGAGCCACTCTTTCCTGGCACAGCCTCTCTTGAATCTTGGACTTCCCCTGCCCCGTGAGGGTTTTGCTGTGTTACAGTGGAGATTGTGGGGGGCACAGGAGGCCGGCAGACCAGCTGTGTGTCCTTGGCCCGCAGCCTCTGCTCTCAGAGCCTCCCTTCCGTGAAATGTTGGATCAGAAGCTGCCCGGAGGGTTGTTGAGGACTGGCTGAGGGCATTCGTGGACAAGGCACACAGGGGGTTGTCAGTGTCGTCGGCTTTAGAGCACCCGACTCTCCGGCCCCGAGAAGCAACACTCAGCCTTCTCAAGTTTCTGGCACCTGTAGGAAACTCTCTCGTCTCTCTTTTTTAAATTCTCCAACCCAAGCCTTCTCTCCTCAGCATCAAGCACCTGACACCAAGCTATTTCTTGAACAAGTGAATGAATGAACGACAGGGGGGCTTTCAGCGTGGGCTCATGAAACAGACTGACACCCCTCAGCCCTGAGCTTCTAGTCTAGTGGGGCCACGACCCGACAGGCAGCTGGGACAGAACACCAGAAGGCCTGG